TCTTACTGAGGGAAGGAGGTTGTTGGCCAAAATCTCACGATACATGGCCCCATCCATCCTTCCCACAATATGGTGCAGTCGTCCTGTCCCCTTTGCAGAAAAGCACCCCCAAAGAATGATGTTCCCACTGCCATGCTTCACGGTTGGGATGGTGTTCTTGGGGTTGTACTCATCATTCTTCTTCCTTCAAACATGACGAGTGGAGTTTAAACCAAAAAGTTCTATTTTTGTCTCATCAGACCACATGACCTTCTCCCATTCCTCCTCTGGATCATTCAGATGGACATTTGCAAACTTCAGACGGGCTTTGACATGCGTTGGCTTGAGGAAGGGCACCTTGCGTGCACTGCAGGATTTTAATCCTTGACGGCGTAGAGTGTTACTGATGGTTTTCTTTGAGACTGTGGTCCCAGCTCTATTCAGGTCATTGACCAGGTCCTGCCGTGTAGTTCTGGGCTCATTCCTCACCTTCCTCAAGATCAATGATGCTCCACGAGGTGAGATCTTGCATGGTGCCCCAGACTGAGGGAGATTTTCCGTTAATTTGCATTTCTTCCATTTTCTAATAATTGCACCAACTGTTGTTGTCTTCTCACCAAGCTGCTTGCCTATTGTCCTGTAGCCCATCCAAGCCATGTGCAGGTCTACAATTTTATCCCTGATGTCCTTACACAGCTCTCTGGTCTTGGGCATTGTGGAGATGCTGGAGTCTGATTGATTGAGTGTGTGGACAGGTGTCTTTTATACAGGTCACGAGTCCAAACAGGTGCAGTTAATACAGGTAATGGGTGGAGAACAGGAGGGCTTCTTAAAGAAGAACTAACATGTCTGTGAGAGCCAAAATTCTTACTGGTTGATAGATGATCAAATATTTATTTCACACAATAAAATGGAAATTAATTATTTAAAAGTCATACATTGTATTTTTCTGGATTTTTGTTTTAGATTCCATCACTCACAGTTGAAGAGTACCTATGATAAAAATTACAGTCATCTACAAGCTTTGCACGTGGGAAAACCTGAAAAAACAACAGTGTATCAAATACTTGTTCTCCCCACTGTATATATGTACATATAGATACCATATACTTTAACAGCTTATTTCAGGCCTCCTGCTTTTCATTAGTAATCAGCACACCTGTTGTCAGTCAGTAATCGCTCTTTCCAGTACATGTACTTCAAGGTTTTCATCAAAGTGTTAAAGCTTAAAACGTTCGTGGTTAAACGTTAAAATGTTTAAAGCTCGGACCTTTTGAAGCAGGATTCAGTAAATATCTGACTGTTGTGCTCCTCTTTGAACCACCTCAGTTTGGAGTTTAATTCTGATCGGCGCCATCGGTTAGACCAAGTGACCAAAACTAAAGCGGTAGAGATGGAAACTCCGGCTTTTTCTTCAAAGATTCGGATCTTTTCAGCTCATAAATGACTCTTCGTTTAAAATGACTTCAGGCTACCAAACAGATCTCAAAGCTGGAATTCCCGTCACTACAAAGTAGATCGCTGTGGTCTTAAAACATCTCCACGCTAAAAATTTCCATACACTGTTTATATGAATGAAAATTTACATTATGTTATTGATTTCAAAGGACATATTTGTGGGTCGTGATCCTTGCATCACATTATGACTGATTCAAAGGACGGTTTATATTTGTGAATCCAAAGATGCTGCAGGCTACTGTGTTTCATTTTGACTACTGAATCACTTCTGAGAGTTTTTCTTATGGCTTCTTTAGGGGCAGTTAAAGACACGTGTTCATGAATCCCATCTGGCTCTGGGGTTTGTGCATGCTCTGATCATGAGAGCTATCTGGAAGCTGATTGGTTCGTGAGTCTGAATCTGCATGAATAACAATTCATTTCAGTTCAGTTTATTTATACAGCGCCAGAAGTCATCTCCGAGCACTGAACAGAAACAGTCAATAAAAAGGAAGTTATAACATTATTTATTTGAGGAGCAGACCGTTTTGAGTCTAACTTCATCGTAGACTCTCATCTTGAGCGAGCATGAAGGCGACGGTGGAAAAGAAAAAACTCCCTCATGAGGAAGAAACCTTTAGCAGAACCAGGCTCAGGACAAGTGTCCATCTGCTTCGACCGGCTGGGTTTTAGAAGAACAGGAAAGAGGAACAGATACACAATGGCAGGTCGAGAACCACATGTTAAGATAGAAATAATTTCAAATGAAAACTATTCAATTTTAACAATTAATTTTAAGAAATGAGATCAATTTGTCCTCTACTGGCCAACCCTAACTATAGGATTTATCAAAAAGCCCAGTCTTAAAACTGGACAACGTGTCAGCCTCATGGACAGAAACTGGAAGTTGGTTCCACAAGAGAGGAGCCTGATAACTGAAAGATCTTCCTCCCATTCTGCTTTTGGAAACTCTAGGAACCACAAGTAAACCTGCAGTCTGAGACTGAATAAGTGCTCTGTTAGGAAAGTATGGAACAATAAGATCTGTAACATAAGATGGAGCTAGGTTGTTGAGGGTTTTGTAGGTTAGAAGTAAGATTTTGAATTCAGTTCTGGATTTGACAGGGAGCCAATGGAGAGAAGCTAAAACTGGAGTGATCAGATCTCTCCTACTAACTCCAGTCAAGACTCTGGCATAACGAGCCCCAAAAGACGTCAGCTTGTCAGTGGAGTCAGAAATTAACTTTTATTTCTCCAAATTGAGATTAAATCTTTGTACAACAATCTTTGTGTTTTGTGAGATTTTGAGTTGTAATTATTGTAATATTTGTGTACTGTAACGCTGGTGGGTGTGGACCCCAGGAAGAATAGTCTCTACTGCAGCGAAGACTAATCAGGATCCTTAAATAGAAACAAATACAAAACAAGTTAAAATATAAATCTTAACCTTTCCACAGAACTCCACTTCAAAACGATCTGAACTATCTAAACTATTTGCGTCTCGCTGTTTGCATCATTTTAAGAGCTATTCTGTCTCATTATTTACAGTTTGATAAAAAGAAAATTCTGCAAAAATTACACGTATAGAAAAAGTAATTTTTTCAAATAATGACATCATTATGTTTAATTCAATAAAGCAACACTTGATGACAAAGTGGTGCTCTCGTTTGTTGAGTAAATCAGAAACAGCTCATTTAAACGCCACTCCGAAAATTAAACACAGTAAGTACCAGGAGCAACTTTTACAACTTGGAACATTTAACACATAAAACTGAATGGATTTAAAACTTGACTTTAGTTTGAGCTTTTTGTTGAATTAAACTTACATGTAGTTAATGTTTTGTTTTTTCCAGGACACTGTCTAAAACAGTGAATTCAAACTCATTTCCATCAGTTTTCTTAGCATATTTTTAAAAATCATTTGTAAATTTGCAGCTTTGTTTTCTGCAGTGGCTCAACGCAAAGCGAATTAGAAATAAGTTTGATAAGTAAATTATATAACAAATATTAAATACACCAACGTGAGAGCTGTGTGATTTTTTTTATTTTAACAAATTTTCACTCTTTGACTGGGCTGTTTTTCTTTTTAAACTCCTCTCACAGCAATAAAAACAAATGTGCTTGCTAATGTGAGAGCCAAATCTAAAAACGACCCCCTTCCTGATCAATAAATGAATGATTTTAGCACAATCTATTAACAGCTCTGCACATAAACTCTTCAAATCCTCCGAGGCTCTTGTTTCCTCTCAGACGCCACCACAGCTTTCACACCTGACAGACGTGTGGCTTCATAGAGGCATTAAGCTTGTAAACAGTGTCATTAATTGAGATTTTGTATTTATATCGGACATGTGGGGCCTTCGAGGGGCTCGCGGAGGGTCGGGCATTACAGATTTGCTTTCCTTAACAGTTCAGGAAAACAAGAGGAGGAGAACGTATTGGCGTGTTGTCCTCACTTTGTCAGTTACGACTTCATAAATTCTCGGCACAGATGCTCCAGCCTCGATCGCTCGTTAACTCGCCCTAAAATTCACAACCAACCTCTGTAGAAAACAGCTGGAGGCTGAGAGTCGACTATCCCTGAAGCAGAAATGTGGCTAAAACGGTAAAAGTGGTGGTCTAAACGGTGACAGACATGTCAAGTTGCTCCAGGAAGAAGAACTCAGGATGAGCATTTAAACGTTTAATTTGTCTGGTCAGTTTTCCTGTATACAAGTATTTATACACACCTGAGCATTAGCGTGTGCAGCTTCAGTGGGCGTACAGGTGACACAAAGAAGAAATGTGTTTAAGAATACAATTTACACAAGGACAAGGAAAGAGACCAACTTGGTGTTTGAAACCCATCAATCCATCCATTATCTTTTTTAACTCGCTTCTTCCTTTTCAGGTTGCACTGGTGCCCATATCCAGCGGTCGCTGTGAGAGGCGGGGGACACCCTGGACAGGTCTCCAGTCCATCACAGGGACAAACGAGACAACCATTCACTCTCTCATTCACACCTTGGGATAATTTAGTTACCAATCAGCCTAACATGCATGTTTTTGGTCTGTGGAAGGAAACTGGAGTACCCGGAGAAAACCCACGCATGCACAGGGAGAACATGCAAACTCCACCCAGAAAGGCACCAGGCTGGGATTCGATCCGGCAACCTTCTCGCTCTGAGACAACAGCTCTACTAACTGCGCCACCGTGCCGCCCTGTTTAAAATCCAAACCAAGAAATTCTGGTTTGCTGCAGGAACTGCGTCCCATTTGTCACCTTTGCTCTTATCGGTGACGTAGGCCCCAAAACTGGGTCTGTCCATGTGTTTGAGGCCTGAACGCAACATTACGTCTCGTAAAGCTCGCTTGAAACAAAAAAGCAACGGAGGAGGAGCAGGAAAGAGAGTGGAGTATTGACTTGGACAGGAGGCCGTGAGAAGCAGCCGGTGTGATGTGACAGAGAAACATTTAATAAGTAGCAAATGATGGCTTAAAAGAACGAGAACAGCAGAAGAATGGATGAAGAATATGTGAGAAGTAAAAAGGAGAGAGAATAAACAACCAACCAGGCAGGTAAAAGAAAACTGGAAAACACCTACCAGGGTCTGCTGGTATCTCAGAGCCTTCCTTTGCGATGCATCTGCAGCCATTGACACGCTGTCACTAATCCAGAAATAACCTCCCTGGACACCCCAGCATTTCCAATGGCGTTGGCAACACCATACACTCTGTCCAATATATATTCACGCTTTAACACAGGTCAAATAAACAAGAAAGCATCTTGTTTCTCACTCTCCTGCAGTCTCAGTTTCAAACACTTCGGTTGGAAAAGAGCAGATTACTGAAGAGTAGACGAGATCCTTCCTGAGCAAATGATCCAGAGGCTGCGAGCGTCCCAGCTCCACTGCAGGACGGACAGAAACGAGACAGACAAAGCAGAGCAGAGCGATCTGATGAGGCAGAGGACACAGCTCGTTCCTTTATTAGAACTGCAGACACCTAATAACATGGACACACATAAACAGAACTTGTTGCTCTTGCAGCACCCTCCCTGCCAGCCAGCTATTAGAAGTGTGTGTGATTGGATGGCCTGTTCTGTTTGGACAGTGGTGGGAGCTGGAAGGGCACCCCTCACAGGGCTGCCCCTGCAACGTGAGCGGAAAGGTGCACACGACACCCCCCATGACAGCTCACACCTTATCAGCCAATGCAGCGAGGCATTCCCCCAGAACCCTCACATGCTGGGGCAGTGCTCTCATCCTTAAATGTACCCACTCCACAGAAAAACACACACCCCCAAAGCGCTTCGACAGGACAGTGAAGCCTCCAGCAGGTTCTGGTACCCGGAGGGTCTCGTGCAGGAGGGCAACCAAAGCACGAGGCGTACCGCAGCTCTGCACAACACATCCCTAAAAGAAGAGCTGATGTAAAGTGTTTCTACTTCGTCGGTGGGTTTCTGCGCTCTTCTCCGCCTTGTGAGACAGACAGCCATTATAATGACCACAAAGACACACAGATCCCCTAAACACCGCCCTGCTTTGTGGTCCACACGCTAGCACATAACATCTTAATCTCACCACTCCATCTGAGGCCAGCGGGAAATGTGTTGCTCTGACTGCCAATGTGTGTGTGTGTGTGTCATGGGAGAATGACTGTGGACAGCTGGCTGGGCCTCTATCTGATACACTAAGAACATTATCAGCGGGTGTCGGCAGGGCCGTGTGAGAGGTTCGTACAGCCCAGTTGCAGCACAGGGAGACCTGAGCGAAGCGAAAAAGTGGGGAGTCAGTTATACTATACCTGAGGAGGACGAGGACGGGCTGTACGCCGGCAACAACACACACAAACACAGCAACAAGGAGGATCAAGTGCAGCGAAAGCATGCGCAGGAGCAGAACCTTCGTCCAGAGGCGTTCAGAGCACAAACCAGATTAAAAAAAAATCAACTCGGAGGAAAAAACTGCAGAAACCACGCGTGCATTTTAAAGAAAAAACAACGCATCTTGTTTAAAAGTAAAGGATTATTTATTGTACAGAACGTTTGGCAGTCTCTGCAAGACTTCAGCAGAACTTACATTAAAACCTCTTCAAATCATGGAAGCTACCCTTTAGCTCACTTTATCTCTTTAAATGATCTCTGAATTATAAAAAGTGAATTAATAATAAGGTAAAAACGACCACCTTCCACCTCTTTAAAAACATACTTGTGTTCAGATGGTTAAACTCCAATACTGTTTCGTGCTTTACTTTCCTCAAATCAACACTGTTATAAATAATTGTCTGTTAAAGGCTTTTTCTGGGGACTATAGTGCTTACAAAACCTTCAATAATAGTTTTTATGTTTAGAGGGGAGCCAGAGCAATACAGGACACTGAACGCACCGCCACGGTCATAAGTTTATCTAACAGATCCGCCTCACTTGGCACACTGCTGTAAGAACCTGCATATTAGACCTGGAAGACACATTTTATCATTAATGGATCAGATACCGACACTAAATATGTGTCTCCCACGCACAGATAAAAGAAAAAAAGGTAAGAATTTATACTGAAGTTGAATCCAGCCCACCACCTGTAATGGACAGGACCAGTTTATAAGTGGGTTATAAATCTAACATTTAAAATGCTGCATTTTCCCAACTTAACATTCACACACATGAAAATAAAGGAGTAACTGGTTGAAAGACTTCAGTCTGAAGATGACCTGTACCTGTTTTTGTTTCTATCAAAAGTGAAAGCAATGAAAAAAAAAAACAGTTCTCTATAATTTGCTTCTTCTGCTATTATATTTACAACCTGTCTAACTAGATGTCTGCAGTCATAAAAACTATTAATTAATGAGGAATAGTGATGATCGAGATAATTAAATGCGTTCGTCTCTGTGGTGCTGCCCCCTGCCGGTCACTATTGTAACAAGCAATGTTGCAAACTTAACAAATAAAAAAAAAATTGAGCTTAAAAATTCCTATTAAAAAAATTCGTACAAAACAAAGTGACAAAAATAGATTTGTATACAAAATACAGTTCAAAACGAGACTTGAATGTGAAACCTCAGAGGTTTTGTGCAGTTTGAAAAGAACAGAAACCTTCTAGCTGACACCAGAGTTCATGTGGATGAACAAAAACCCGCTCGTTTTCCTTATAAGGATTTCAGAGTGTGTGTTCGTGTGTGTCTGGGGTTCGAATGAACAAACCTGCATGGATACTGAGTTTAGAACCAGGGGAATGTGGCAGTGTTTGTTGATGTGATGCCTTTCACTGAAAGGCTTCCCCATGTGGAATGATGTGTGTGTTTGTTTAAAGTGCGCTGTTGCACATCAGTACTGAGGCTGGTACTTGGGGAACAGGTAGAGGTCTTTGCAGAGGGAGCTGGTGAACTCCGACATCTCTTTGCAGCGATGGTGGGCCGTGCCCGGAGCGTAGCCCTCCCTCTCTTTGATACGTCTGTTGACCTGAAGGATTGTACAGTAATCTTTTAATAACCAAAATATTTAAAAAAATCACAACAAGCATGTAGGGTAGAAAAGTTAAAGCGTTACTGTTCACCTGCACCAGGATGTCTGCAAGGTGTGTGTCTCTGGCACGAAGGCGGAGTGCCGAGTTGAGTTCCTGGATGAACCAGGACCCTCTCTTGGTGTTTCGCATGGCTGCTGTGCCTTTAGGATGCAAAGATCAAACCATAGCTTGACACATCGACACAACATGCAGAGATAATATAATCTGGTAGAGATCAGACACATCAACTTAAATTAGCAGAAGCAATTTTTACATTTCCATTTTTCACACAGCTTTAACACTGGCCACAAATCTTTATACAAATAGACATTTTCTAACTGTTTTGCTCAATAAACAAGAAATTATGTCGTTGGAACTCAGTTTAACATATAATAGTAAACTCACTTTGAAAACCTCGATTTATTACACCAGTAATCAAACAAATGCACTAAAAGTTGACCATAAGGATAAAGAACCAGTAAGTGCTTAACTGGTTCATTGATTTGTTCTTAAAACAGTTGACCTGCTGAGTGTCCATAAAATTAAATTACTTGTTCACATTTACTTCAAGCAGATTTCTGCAAATTGCACTAAAGAGAAATGAGAGATTATTTTTATATTTGTTTAGGGGGAGTGGGGTATAAATTATTTGTCTTGTTTCAAATGCTGTGCAAAAAGCAAAAAACCATTTCAGATTTACTGATTCTCTGCTGATCTACTCATATTCCTTTAATTTACATTACGGTTGATTAATACAAATTCATATTTCATGAATAAAACCAACAGAGTAGGAAAAAAGCAAACTTACTGATTTTCTGACCTTTGAGAGACGCGAAGCCACAGATCATATCTGAGCGTTGAGGCAGTTTGATTCTAGGCCTCCTCTGGTCCCCTCTTTGCGTCGAGTCTGCATCCCCCTCTCCCTCCCTCCCAGCATCGCGCTGTTCACAGTTTGGTGAGAGAGTCCTCGCTGGCCCGTCTATCTGCTCCACTCCACAGTCCATCTCATCTGAAAAACCAAAAGTCCAGTTCAGCCCAACAGTCAGACGTTCTAATTAAAGATGTGGTGATTCAAAGTTGAAGCGCTCCGGGTTCTTCTTGATCACAGCTGACATCATTGTTCTGCTCTCAGACTTGTCCTGATCCGTCTGGTATGTTGACACAGACAGGATATCAGCTACATCTGCTGAACGGGTTCTGGTTAATTACAGCATGTTGGATATAAGCAGCACCGGGACACGATTTAACACAAAGTCACATTCAGCCTCTGTCCAGTTTGGTCAGCAGGTTTGTCTGGAATCACTACAGAGCTCTGGATGCAGAGTGAGTGCATTCTTCCAGTAAAGAAACTGCCACTTACAGACCTGCATTATCCACATTCAGGGGCTTTCTGGACTCTGATCCCTTCCCTCTGGAAAAAAAATGTCTGCTGACTTCAAAACAGGCTAAAACGCTGCTGTAAAACGTGCGCTCCTCCACCGGGAAGAAGGTTCAAGATTCAAAAAGGTCAAAACTGCCATTAGGAGGACTCTACCCCTGAAGGTCACAAAACCTAAGATCAGTTGGATCACAGACCAGGTGGCACCTGCATTAGGTCTACATGGAGCAGGAAGAAGGTCTGAGTTCAGCTCAGACTGCAGCTGACTAGTTTCAACATTTTCTCTGTGGTTTGTGTCCATTTCTACTGGTGGAATTATGTAATAAATTATATGTGCACTAACAGCCAATTTTTTTTTAAACAATCATATAAAATGACAAATAATACAGAATCCTATCAAAATGTCAACACTCTTGTTCAATATTATGATAGTAAATTATAAAGTTTAATATATTATCTGCTCACGAGCATCATGAGGTTTGCAGGATGTTGCAGGTTTGTGAAGTTACAGATTAATTTTGAAGTCGGAGCACATTTTGACCGAGCTTTGATGTAAAAATAACAGAACGTGTGACATTTTGACACAATCTACATCTGGAGCTGTGCAGCTGACGGATGGCCGCCCACTGTGATAATTACATCAGCCGGAAAAGTGACAGCAGACAACATCTGGGCTCCTGGAAGTAGAGGCTGGTGCTCTCGGCTCATTTCTTGGCATGAAATGTCGAGAAATCCAGAAGATTGAACTCTAATACAGATTTATTCGATCGGTTGTTTACGTACCTCCTCTGCAGGCCTGAACGAAAAACATCTTTGGTTTGTTTTGGAGCAGCGGACAGCGTGCGTTGTCAAAAGTCTGAAACACCCAGTCCAGCTGAAAATGATCAAATGTTACATGTTTACTCTTTAAATGTATTTTCATTTAAGCCCCCCTGTTGCCCTTGGGTCAAAAATTAGCCATGAAGCCTCAGTGTTGAAACTGAGGCCTTGTGGATCATTTTGACCCAAGGGCAGCAGGGGGGTTAAACGATAAAATATGCTAACAGCGTATCAGACGAGCTAACCTGAAGAAGTTGTCCGTCGGTGCCGTAAACCGCCCCATCCACTCCGTGGGACAGCAGACACACCACACAGCTGTCCATTGTCCGGTGTTCTGGTCGCCTGCAGAATGTCTCCAGGCATGTCCTCATGTCCTGCTCAAAGACAATAAGAGGTTCAGTTAAAAGACGAGAAAAGATCAAATCTTCTTTCATCTTCTCTGACTGAGTTAAAGTTGTGTTTGTTCTGTGATTGTTTCTCTCTTAAACCGGCAGCAGAGCAGGTGAACTAGACTAAACAAACAACCGTTGCACTAAAGGACATGTTCTGTGTCAGCTCACCAGCCTTGCTTAAACAAAGGTCTTTAACACAGTTAGACCTACTTAGGTTTACCATTAACTCACTTTTCTTACAACTTTTTAAAGTTTATCATCTAAAAAAATAAAGATTCATCAGAATTTGATTGTGACTCCGAGACTCACCTGAGCTGTGAGGTCTCTGTGGACGCTGACGAGGTAGTCCAGCTCAGTAAAAATCTTCCTGAGGACCTCGTCATCCACTTCACCTCCTTTCCTTGGGTCGAGGTCAGGAGCAGCGCCAGAGTCAAAGGTCACATTACTGATAACCAAGGCAAAGCCACGAGGGGTGGATTTCATCCTGTAAGACTGTAGGGAGGGAAGGATTTTAAAAATATATAAGCAATCCAACCTATATTATCCAGTTGTTTTTACAAACTGATAAAACTTTCACAAACAGGTTATGTTTCTCTTCACTTAACGAGCCCACAGATAAACCATTAAAGACCCAAATTCCTGCAGAACGGCTAACCTGACCAGTTAAACAGAGGTGTTGTACCTGCTGGCAGCGAGAGAGGTAAAAGTCAGGAGTGCATGGCAGGACAGGAGTGGTGATGGGACTGTCGGCATCGAGGCTAAACTCCATGGACTCTGCAGCAAACAGACGGGCGCACAATATAGCAGCAAACAAGTAACAATAATCTTTAGTCCACTTATTCAAAGCTGCATTTCAACTGTATTGAATTACACTGCTGAGAATGAGTCACTCCTAAAGGGTGAGGCATATATGTACACAAAGTAACTGCGCTTTAAAGCAACAAAACTCCTACAACTCTCTATGTAATGGAGATAAATAATGAAAAATGTGTACAAAATTAACAATTAGTTGTTGCTCTGAAAGACTAAAACCATGAACTGGCAACAAATTTTAACATTATAATAAATAACATTTCTTAAAACTAGACAGCACATTAATTCTTTTGTTCTGCCTGTTGTCTCCAGGGAAACAAACACTGATAACAACATTTAGCTCAGAGTGACACACCACTTCAACAACACTCACCGTGTGTCCGTGCTCTCTTTGCAGGGAATTCCTCCTGGGTTGGAAGTGGAAGAGGAGACCTTTTAACTCTCTAAAATGTAAAATAATGCAAAGTCTTTAAAAACAAAACAACAGCCTCTAAATTAGAGACATTTGAATATTTGCTGTAGTAGCAGTTAAGTGTATGTATATTTCTAACCAACTATTAAGACTCTCTCCTGTCAGCTGTTTGACTAACTCAGCAGGGCAGCCTGGATGGGTACTAGGAGCTGCAAGCTTTTGGTAATGGTCACATCTGTCTGTGTTTCACTTTCTCTTGCCTTTGTCCTTTGTCTCTCTTTGTTCCTGTCCTGATCCCTGATTGGGGTCAACTCTCTGGATGACGGCTCTGAATCTGTTTTGCTGCTATCTGAGGACTGGGCTGGGAATGACGAGGTGCTGCTCACCTCGCTCACTTCCTCTAAGGACGTCTGCAAAAAAATCCTGTTACTGAAGCTCATACTTTTATTAACATTTCCTATGAAGTGCATAGCTGGGCTGACAAATATGAAAGCACTGTAAAACACATTTAGAACCTCAAAGTTCTCTGGAAATCGGTGTTACGTCTTGCTCTGCTCACCTCTGTCTTGCTTTCTGCGTTTCTCTCTTGCTCTTTCTCAGCCTGAATACTCTGAGCAGAGTTTGGAAACTGCATCACGTCGTTACACAAATCAGCAGTAAAAACTGTAGCTCTGAGTTATGTGTATTAATGTATACTGACGCACATCAGTGCATGCACTCACGTCTACGTGCGTCTCCTTGTCTTCTTGCTCCAGTGACTGTGTGAGCAGGTCACACAGGTGCTGCTGCTCAGTCTCTCGGAGCGCTGAACAGAAACTGCTAAACGCTCTGGGTCCTCGCTTTGGCAGGAGAAGTAACAACTGCCAGCTGCGTTTCTGAGACGTCTGCTCAGCCTGAAGAAGCGAAGATCAGTTAAAAACACCACAAAACACAGAATAAGCATCAGCTGCACACTTGACTCTTATTTACCTCTTTAATTCATAACTCTTAGCAGGCTATCAAACTGCAAATGTCAACAAAATCGATCTACACAAGACAGGATCGCACAGAAAAAACAACTTTTAAGAAATCGGAGTAAATATCTAAGATTTTATTTTATGAAAACAAAAAATGTAAGTGGCTCATCAAGCACCTAGGAAATAAAATAATTGTGCGAACGATGTTAGAAACAATGTTACATCTGAAATCAATTTAGGGGTTTGACAAAAACAACAGTACGAGTGATGCGTTTCCTTCAGACAAACATTTTTCTCTGCTGTAAAAACTCTGAGATGCTGAGTAGAAAATGTGAACGAGTTCAGATGATTTCTAATTCTTGAGAAAAAAATAAAAGATGATAATTTTTCTTGTGCAGATAGGTAGGTAACGCATCTGTAATTAATGATCATTAGTCTGTGCCAATTATTGTACAAATAGTCTTAAACACCTGTTTACAAACAGCTGAATGAAACAGATCAAAATGTCACTTTGTTTTTTCACCAGTTAATGAAGATGAGACCGTTTTAAAAAAACAACTCTGTCTTCTGCTTGTTTAATACTATTTTATAGAAAGGTTATGGAATAGTTTTGAGGTTTAAATTAATATATTACTAAATAAAGACATAAAAAGATCAAGCATTAAAAATAATAATTTAAATTTTTGTGTGACAAGCATCTTAACAGTTTTTGTTTAAGTGTAGTTCTCAGATGAAGTAACAAGAACCAGCCATGGTTAAACAATACTTTTTCCTCAACAAGAAAATTTGAACAAAAATATCAAAAGTGAAACACGTTCAGTTACAGTCCAGAGTTTCTGTAGAACAATTTGGTCCTATTGCGATGACGACAAATGAGAGATTGTATTACATTTGTCAAACATTTCCTACTCATTTTGGTGCGATACTTGTGATGACGTTGCTTGACAATCTATTAAGAATAATGCCATAAAAGCTGTGAAAATACATTAATTCTTTGATTTAAAAAAACAACATTAAATATGCATTTTTTTATACTACCACAAGTCTACCGCATAAGTTGTAATAAATGAGTGAAATCAGCAGGATCAAAATTTTTTGTCAATAATTACAAGTTTGATTATCAAACATTGATTAGTACACTTTGGACAGTCTAGACAGATATTGTCAGTAAAATAATCCCAGGATGAAAACAGAATCAGAGTGAGAACAATAAAATCAGAAACGACAGGTCAAAAGCGAAAAGGTAAAATTCTTCTCTCTTCTTCTGAGAAGAAACTGCGACTAAAGCTGTAGAGTTCATTTGGTGGATGAAATCGAACAGAGGAGAACAGTAAAGCAAAAGTTGGGACGAGGGTCATATGCAAATGAGCTGCGCTGAGATATTCCAATTTCCAAACTAATGGGAGAATTGCCATAACTGATGATCACCGAGTATAGCGGTAAACAAGGACGAGGAATACTGTTATCTTATGCAATTCTAACAAAACACCCTGAAAAGTTTGAGTTACAATAAGTAACATTAATTTTATAATGTGAAACGAATGTGTTAGAATAAAATTTTAATTCAATTCAATTCAATTCAAAAATACTTTATTAATCCCAGAGGGAAATTATTTTGTTGTTGTAACTCATTATCCTCATTTCATTAAGAGATGTTATAGATACTGATGGCTGTAGGCAGGAAGGATCACTTGTAAAGGTCCATCTCACAGTGGATCCTAAGAAACTGGCTGCAGATGCCGTCCGACCCGTCCACCCAGACTCGGCTGGCCTCTTGGTTCCCCTGGACTGTAGGACCGCTTGAAAGCTGGGCAGAACTCCTCCCAAAGCGATGGCCACTCCTCCCAGAAGTCTGCCGAGCTCCTCATAGCTGCGGACAGCCAACTGTAGGTGCTGAGGGACGATCCTGTTCTTCCACTGTCACGAGCCATGTTTCCTGCTAGTTCCAGGATCTCAGTGGTCAGGCACTCGAGCACAGCTGGCAGGTAGATGAGAATGCGTCCATAGAACATCCTTTTCAACTCATTTGAGAGTTGGGGCCATAGTTGAGATATTATTTCAGCTTTTGAGATGTTATTCAGCTGCTGTTGTTGTAGAAAACTGCCTTGTTGCCATGGTTACGCATCATAACAAATGTCCAAAACTAAAAAAAGTTTCAGTAAAAATCCTTCCAGCTGCACAGCATTCGATACCAGAGGAAACAATCATCCAAAAAAATGTGATTTACATCCAGAAAAAGAGGAATTAAAGTTTCCAAAAGCAAAATCTCAGAATGAAAGTAACAGAGCTGCTCCAACATGCAGCCACCTTGAGCGGCGCAATTCTAGAATTCAAATCGAAACATTTAAAAAAAATCACAGCTAATATAACTTTGAGCATGTATCAGGATATAACTTTAAGTTGTTTTATTGAACTTATGTTTAAATAACAGCAAATTCACTTTCTACGAAAAGCAAACTGAACATTTATTATGTTGAAGAGATGTGTGTCAACCTAATAAAATAGTTTGAAGATTACAATAAACTCTGGACAAGAATTCCTTTGTACCTGAACCTTGTGTGAACGTACAGATGGCAAATAAAGACTGACTGACATATGGCATGTAACAGACCAAGAGACGAGCTTGACGTAACTTCATGTTGCTGGTACGCTTGCTGGTATTTTTGTCAAACATGTGATTATAGGCTGTTTATGAAAAAACGTGCTCCCATACCATGATGCTCTCTGCCATGCTCTCAGTCAGGATGTTGTCTGCCAGCAGTGACTGAATGAGCAGCTCATCCACCACCAGCTGTTTGCACAAAACAGCAGAGCGTCTGCGTAGAGACTGTTTGTCCCTCTCTAGCATGCCACACTCCAACATTGTCCTGCAACACACTGCAGACAGGACAGATAACAACATACATGAGGGTATACACACACAACGCGCCCCAACTGCTGATACGTGTGAACAAACTGCACAGTCAGTGTAGTTTGTCCTTTAGGATAAATAAAACAAATGTGATGCCTTCTAGTTTAATTCGTGTAACAATCTAGCACATAAATGAATAACGCTATTTGTATGTACACATTTCCAAAACATCTGGAAAAAAATACACATACATCGCTGAGTAAACAATACAAATGTAGGTTAAAGAAATCGATGATCAACAAATAAGTACTGAGAGAAACATATTAAATGTTTATAACTAATAATAACACGAGTTTCGTTTAAAAACAATTGACAGTTCACGCTAACGCTAAATGATGGCAGCTAGTTACCGATGCTAGCTAGCCTGCTAGCGAGCTAACTTCGACTTTTTCTGCATTTAAGTGACTTTAATACAATTCTATCTAAACTCATAACTCACCGTTTCTGCAACAGGAGACCTAAACGTCCAGGAGGAAAAAGTACTCCACAGTGTTTTGGCTTTTCGCACGATGTTATGCAAATTAAACACACATTTTAACATCCCCCTTTTTTTTCCTCCACTCCACAGATCAACTTCCGCGGGTTCGCGAGCTGCATTGAAGCGAGGAGGAGCTAAGTGCATTATTTTGGGATCTTAACCAATGAGCGCTCGGTACATTTTGATGGGCGTTTCCAGTAGCCAATAGGAAGATTTCTGGCGACCCTTTCTCTTACAGTAAACTGAGATAAGAATTTTAAATTTGAAATGTTGACAAACAACAAATGAGCGTAAGAGTTTGAAGAAATCCACATATTTCTGTTGGTTTAGTAGGAACATGTATTGCTAAAATAGCATTCAAGTATACAAAATAGTAGAAACTTCCATTGACGATTTAACTTATGATGATGATTTAACAGCAACTTTAATGCGTTCAACCGTTATTTATACAGGTTATCTCGAGCACTCATTTACAAGAGAGACCTGTTTTAAACAAAACACAGATCAGGTACAGACAACAAGAGGCAATTACAAAGAATATAAAAAGTATATAAAATGAAATGATTTACAAACTAAACAAAAAAACAGCTATAAAGTGGTGTAAAATGTTAAAAACAGGAACATGTCTGCATTGTTTTTTGACATGAACTTAACAGTTGTTTAAAATCCTTGAGAGGTCAAGGTCGACAGCTTGACCTCTAAGGGATTTTAAACAACTGCTAAGTTAATACAACAAAAGTTTTTTACTTTGAATGTCCACTTATGGCAGAGCTTACTAGATTTTTAACATTTTAAAAGATTAAAACAGCAACATTCTACTTTCACAAGGGTCTTCTTGAGATGTTTTTTCTACTTATAATGTACTTTTACTTTCACTTAGTTAATGTTTATGGGCAGCACGGTGGTGCAACTGGTAGAGCTGCTGCCTCTCAGCGAGCAGGTCCTTGGTTCAAACCCCGGTCCAGGGGCCTTTCTGGGTGGAGTTTGCATGTTCTCTCCGTGCACGCGTGGGTTTTCTCCGGGTGCTCCGGTTTCCTCCCACAGACCAAAAACATGCATGTTAGGCTGATTGGTAACTCTAAATTGTCCCTAGGTGTGAATGGTTGTTTGTCTCTATGTGTCCCTGTGATGGACTCGCGACCTGTCCAGGGTGTACCCCGCCCCTCGCACAGTGATTGCTGGACATGGGCACCAGCGACCCCCGTGACCCAAAATGGAATAAGCGGGTAAAGATAATGGATGGATGGATAGTTAATGTTTATACTGAGGCCTTTGTGTCACTGACACACATAATAAACATATATCTTAAATGAATAAAAAAAAAAAAACATAATTAAAACTAAATAAAATTAATTTTAATGTTTTCAATTGCAGGTGTTTGATTTTTTATTAGCAAATTTTAACAAGTTCCTCAAGTAACACCCAACATTATTTAATTTGCTTCAAAAAATATACATGCTAAATAGTTATTTTGCATCATGCAAGGCTATAAAAATGTGCACACACCACTTTTCTTTCCATGAATCTGCCCCCTTCTTACTTCCCTTTCTAACATTCTCCAGCTCTCTCTACTCCTCACCCTCCCCTGCTGTCTCCCTCCTCACCCTCACTGTGTGCGCTGTCAATAATTGATGATTATCACCAACTCAAAGGGTAACAGAGCCGGGGGAGAGGGAGGAAAAAAAGGAAGTTTCACCCGTTTCTTTATTTATTTACAGGTCTATCTTTAAACCAGTCATAACCACCACTACTAGAGTTTATGACGGCTCAATGACATGGAGCACAATGAGGCAGTCTGACTGTGTCAGTTTTTACAGCTCCAGCTGCACATGTGACCATGAGCAAGTTAATGCTGCATGTTTGACAACAGGACAGAGGGAGAAAAGGGAGGAAGCTTAAATGAGTGAGTGGTAGGGGGGCAAGAGAGGAGGAGGAAGGTGGAGGAGAGGAGGAGAGGCAGAATGATAGAGGGAATTAATTCAAGCTTAGCCAGCCCTGATTGACTCTGTAACTGGCATGTACGAGCATTCAGAGTGACACCAAAACCATGGAGAGGGACAAGAGGAATGACATGTCACTGTCTAAAAAGAGAAGTTTCACCTTTGGGGCATATGGCAGGTGAGTCACACTCTAATTTGAACATATTAGATGCTTTTAGTTAAAAAAAAAAGGGCAATTTCCAGGTAGAAACAACCCTTATTGTTGAAAATAGTTGTCCTCACTTCCTTGTTTACAGCGTGGACAGAATCACCTGTGGTGATGAGACAAGGTGAGGCTTTGTTTCCCCTTGCAGCTATTTTAAGCCTGTTTGAACTTCATTTGACTGCGAGAAGCAGCAGGAGGGGTGACAAATTGTGTCGTGTTGTTGATGTAAACCAACCTGTTGCTTCAGACCTGAATCTGTGGAGAACGACCTCCAGGACAGTCTGGACTCCCCGGCCAGTGACAGCAAGCCCTCACTTTCCTCCAGCAGCAACCAGAGGGTGCAAGAATGTCCTCGCTCACATTCTGTTTCAACACATTGAATAAATCCTCAGTCACTGCCACATTTTTGTTCAGTTGTTTATGATGTTCCTCTTCCTCCCCACGTTTCTCCTTCCCCTTTTTTTTTTTTTCCTTGAACCGCACGTCCATTTTCTGAGTCAGGAAACAGAACTGTTTGAAATCATTGCAAAGCTGCAGGTGAGTTTCAGTGGAATTGATCTTGTGTGTGCGAGCAGCAGATGTTTGTCACCGTTGATGCTCTTGTCCATCAGGGCAGCCGGATCGATGAGCAAAGATGTGAATTCCCACTACCTCTGAAGGTTCGTGTTCGACCTAAACTCACCATACGGACAAAGTATCAACGCTTGAAATGTTGTCACAATACAACCTCAGAACTTAAAGTATTTCACTGGGATTTTGTGCGATGGATCAACACAAAGTAACTGTGAAGCGATGGTTTTCCAAGTTCTTTACAAATAAAAATCTGATAAATGTTGTGTGCATTGTTCTGGACTTTGACTGGGACGTTCTAACACATGATTATGTTTTCATCGTAGCTCTGAATGTTTCAGGCCATTGTCCTGCTGGAAGGCGAACCTCCACCCCAGTCTCAAGTTTTCTGCAGCCTCTAACAAGTTCTCTCCCTTGATTGTCCTGCATTTTCCTCCATCCACCTGCCCATCAACTCTGACCAGTTTACACATCTGAAGAAAAGACGACATGATGCTGCCACCACCGTGTTTCTCAGCGGGGGTGATGTGTTCAGGTTGAAGTACAGGATTTGCTTTTTTGCCACACGTGACCTTTTAATTCATTTCAATTCAATACAAAAGTACTTTATTAATCCCAAACGGAAATTAAGTTTAGTCGTAGCTCATCATCCTGGTTTCATTCAAGAGTTGTTATAGATGCT